GGCGGTGGCGGGGGAGCGCGGGCTGTGATTCAGTGAGTGCCCTGGGAGGGATCTGGAGCCGGCCRCTCGCAGCCAAGAGCAGCACATTAGCTCCATGACATACATTATGATAGTGCCAGCAAAATGGTCAGTGCCTCACTGGGACGTGCTGCAGCCTGCGGAATGGCTGAGGGCTGCAGCGCAGAACATATGGAGATTATTTCCTGAATTTATGCAGCACATGTTTTCCTATAAATTAAATTCAGAGAAAATGTGTATCATAATAGGGTGATGCTCACAACAGCCTTCCCTGTTATGAATTACRATGACCTTTCTCAGCTTGTCGGGTGCCCTGTGAAATGGCTTCATGCAATTGGAAACARTCGTGTGTGTGGTGTCAGGGTCTGAAAGCCTGACCAAAAGGCTCTCTAACGAAAAGCAGGGCCTTTATTTTTCCCCCCTTCTCCATTGCTTCACTTTTTCTTCGTTTAGAAACTGCCCAGTTTCCTCCTGAGGTGCCAAGTTGTGAAGAACGTGGGCAGATGCCCCAGGGTCTGCTCTCTGTTGATCGGGGTGCTGCCCTTTCTGAGGGGCTGCTGGGCAGCAAAGGCAGCTCTGGATGTGGCAGCAGCCCCCTTTCATGGGTGAGGGTGGTGCAGGATGCCAAAACAGCAGGACAGGGGTCCTTAGCCAAAGTAAGGCGAAGACAAAGGAGCACACATCCCCTCTGTGTCCTTGCACTGAGGATCCCAAGTCATTTTTCTGGGTTAATACTTGACGTTCTRTTGCCTGGGGCTGGGGTAAAATCATCTTTGCCTTTTCCTTGGGTATGCTGAAGCAACTGAAGGAAAAATATTGTAGAGACAGTCATTATAACTACCTTYCTAAAGCATGAAAAAGAAGTTATGTTCCTTACAAGTCTGTGTGTGAAATCTTTAGCAGAGGAAATGTAGGAGCAGAGAAACTGGAACCTCGTAATTAAAATATAAATGTGTCTGTGGATATATATATAAAGCAATGGGTACCAGACATCAAAACAATCTGGGGTTTGCTTGGGGACAAATCACTATTAGTCAGTACTGACTAATAGAGTGTTCTCAGCTGTGTGTGAGGGACTTGCTTTTTCATTTGCAGCTGATTACAGGCTAATAGGATTTCAAAGATTTCTGGGAGGGAGCAGTTCACATCTCATTGCATTTGGAGGAGGGGGTTGATGTTTCATTTATCATACTGATACCTAGCCTTAGAATACATTTTATTAGTCTCCTGTTTAGCTTCTTGAACTGAATCTTCCCCCTCAGTCCCTTGCTGCTGTCTAATTGGCAGTTTTCAAGTCATTTGGGACTTTTTGAAAGATCTTATCAGCCTTTTGTGTGATGAAGGAGAATGTATCATAGGAATTTAAAATAGTGTTGTGAATCTTTTTAGGTTTAGTTCTCTCTTTGTCATTTACTAACACATGCATGATGTGGCTTTTACCTTTATGTTTTCTCAATGAAAATTAACAATTTGAAAGCAACTCATGGGAACGACAAATACAGCTGAATGTTATTGGTACAGACTACTTCTGTGACTGATCTTCTCTGCTTAGTGGCAGTATTAGCCCAGTTACTTTTCTTACCAGCTCACATGTTGGGAACACACACTTAGCCTGTAAATATGGATTGAGGAAGAAAATGAATACAGCAGTGTTCAAAGCAGCCAAAAGCTTAGAAATAACGTTCTGCTGTGACTTTTCCAAACTGACATCTTGATGCTGGGATTATAAATGAAACCATTGTTCCAGCAAAGGCCAAGACTAATAGAAAGCCTTTATTACCGGTCCATTGGCTAATTCTGCTTGTCTAACCCCTTTGGATGGACACAGTGTCAGAAAACATAGTCACAGAGGTTGCTTTGTGTGAGATTTGGCCTGCTGCGTGATTACATGGGGGCACAAAGATATCTCAATGACAAGTGCTCTTTGACGAAAATTTGTAAAGTAATTTTTTTTTCCYTAGGCCTTGGAGAGGAGTGAACTGATTTTTAATCTACAGCTTCTATGAGTGATATTTGCTTTGTGTCCTATCACCCTTCTATTCATTTTTTCCCCCTTCCAAGCAGGTAAACCTCTGCTTAGAAGAAATTGTTTCTTCTGCTGAGCCTTGGTGCAGTTGACAGCTGTCATATACGAGGACTATACTTGAATATGTGTCTTTAGAGCTAGACAGTCTTAAAGGGCTTTAATGTTTTGTCTTTGCACATGCAGGGAGTGCCTGGGAGCCAGAGACCCCTATTGTGGCTGGGATAGCAAGCAGAAGCGATGCACCACCATCGAGGACAGCTCCAACATGAGCCTCTGGACTCAAAATATCACTGAGTGCCCAGTAAGTGGAAGGAGTGGAAATATTTTGTATATCCTGATGTGTGTATGTGTAGAAGGGAGAAGGGAAGGTGAGTGTGTGGCAGCCTGAAGAGGACTGGCTGTTGTAAAAGCAGTGGCACACACTAATATCTGTGCACAGCTTCTTGTTTAGAACACAGAGAGCCCAAATGCGTTTGTTTTCTCACAAGGAGGGATCCTAAAGAAAGCATTCAGTCCTCCTCATGCCCACCACCCATGCCTTGGGTGAAAAAGAATGGATCATGYTGCTGGTTACTGCTGAGAACCATGTAAGCCCCAGCTGAAATTTGACTTTGCTCAGGGCTGCTCCATTGTCTCCGTGATTTTCTTGGTTTCCTGGCAAGCTGGGGAATCTGGATAGCCAACTACAGCATCCTCAGGCAGCGGTTTGTTAATTTTCTTCTTGGATCCCTGAGCTGGGCCCAGGAAACAACACTGGTGAAAAGTGTTGTACTGGCAGGAAAAACCATCTTGGCAACAGCACAGAAATTATTGCATGTGTGGTTTGCAAGAGGACCAAAAACATACAGTGTGTACTAGTGAAATCAAGGGAAGGGGAGAGTGTGACTGAGAGAGGGGGTGTGAGAAAGACAATATTGTGTTCTAATCTCACTCCAGCAGACCAAAGACCAAATCTACATGATATTGCATGGAGATGGCCTTTTTCCCCTGGCCCTGGTCTCCAAGAAATGCATGTAGAAAAGAAGTGTCTCTGCTTGAATCAGTTTGAATTGACTCTCCAGCTCCCTTCCATCCATCCACCCACCCTTCTCTGACGACAATATCCAGTTCCTGACTGTGATCCCCAGAAGCTGTCTGGCCGAGTGTAATTCCTGCTGCTTGAACTGTACCTGCAAGCTGGCTGGGGAGGAAAGAACATTCTTGTTAAATAAATTGAGGGTGGGGGAGGAATTGTCATTAATGTTCATTGTTATTGTCTAACGTCAATTAGAMTGTTAATACTGCTAAGTCCAGTAGATAGAGAGAGAGGGCTGGATGGGTTATATCTTCAGTATGCTATTTCTGTCTGGAGGTGCTGGGATGTTTATTCCCCTTATCTTCCTTACTCCTCAGATATTTTCCCAGGAAATATTAGTCATTACTTCAATCCATCCTCAGCTTGGCAGGCTTAAGTTTTTCACTGCTGGATTCAGAGGCTTGTGTGTTTATAACCCTCCTGTGTTGAACTGGGATGCAGTGCTTCTTGATTGCCCATGCTGTTATCTCGTCCTGCTTAATGCCTGTGTCTGTTGATAGGTGTGTGAGGTGTTAATCCTCTAGTTTGAACATGTCTGCTGTGGTGCACACTGGGGAACAAACTACTTCGGATCATTGTTTCAAGGTCATAAAAATCCAGCACAGAATATTCAGGAGCTTTGGCTGTTCTTGGGCTTCTAGTTTTACATTTGTTGTAGCATTCTGTTATATTTTCTGTGTAGGTGCTCCCATTCTGTTACATATATTAGACTTGTGCTCTTTGACTGACAGGCTGCCAGGCTGCTTAAAATCCACATGCAAGTGMTTTCTTTTTCTTTCACCTCTGCCACTCACTGGAATGAATTCACACTGGCGTGGAGTGGGATGGCTCATTTAAGCACCTGCATCAGCAATATCCAAATATTTCCTGGTATTCAGTGCAGGACAAAGGTCACGGTCAACAGAAGCAAAGGTCTAGAGCAGCATGTGCAGATGAGCACTGAAAAGGGAGGGGATTGCAGTGACCCAATGCCAAACTTCACTMCTGCAAAAACCTGTCTGTGAGTTTAGTTGGATGAGTTACTGTCATAAGAAGTCCTGGCTTTTCCCACCCCACTTTTCTGGGCTGAGCACCAGGCGCTCAGCTGTGCTGGTACAGCTGTATGTGAGATCACAGTCAAGTGTGAAATGGTGTAGATTAAAAGCACCCCTCCCAAATAAACTTTTCCTAACCCAGATAATGTCAGTGAGTTCTTCTGCAGCCTAGCCCACAAACAGATGTCCTGGCACAGCTGAGAGACTGGCATTCAGCAACTTTTAAACCAGAACTGGCATATTATTGAATTATATCCTACATGGGCCAGGCATTCATGTGAGTCAACCACAACACTAACACAACTTGACGGCTGCTCTTGTGGAAAATGCCTTGCTTGGAGCTAATCTGAACATCTTTGTACAGCACTACATTGTGCCACAGGGTCCCACTCTCCAGCTTTAATATTAAGGGACTTTAGATAGAGGCTTAATCTTGTAGTGTTAACATAATACATTGGGTAATGGTTAGTATATGTTATTACCAGGTAACATCCAGAATCTCCTAAAGGTTCATTACTGAGGTTGCAATGTCAACCATTTTAACGTATCTAAAAAACGGTAGCATACAAATTTCACAAATTAAACTGCTCTTCCATGTATGTGCCTGTGCTTTATTARGGATACAGGATTGTATATGTTTTATTGAGAGAAGGGAGTGAGGCTTGGGAGAAGGGAGTGAGGTGCACTTTGATTTTAGAAAAACAGATGCATCCTGTTTTGTGATCTTACTGATGCAAACATGATCAGCACAAACCATTAGCCAAGCTCATGGTGTCMCTGTTGAGGGTGTTTGGCAAGTCARGAGTTGAGTATTCCCAATAAAGTGTACCATCCTCCTTATCCTGAGCTACACAATGGTCTTCCTTTTAGGTTTTCACCCCAGTCCCACTCTGTGTTTCCAACAAAGCCCCATCTTAGCCATATTGCATCTGTTCCATGCTACCTTGTTTTCTTGCTAATGAGCAGCAGTTTCCCCACTCTGATTTTGGGTATCTTRTATGCTGTTGTCAATTCACGTGGACTCAGAGCTGCAGTGCCCAGGGTAATCCTGCTCTGGTGCACCCTGAAGCAGGTCCAGTGCACAGGAAAGACTTTGGGTGCTGGGATCAAMATCTATGAGTCTCTGAAAACTAAGAATTTTTCCCACCATATCCCAAGGATTTTATACCCTGGCCTGTTTTTAATGGCTTTTCATGGGAATTGCAAAAAGGTATTACAAGGACATGGTCCTTGCTCTGAACAGTAGTTTGTTTCAAGGAATATGTTCCTTCTTTTGGACAGTCTTTTTTGATAGATCTGGTTTAAWAAATGGTTGAAGTAGTTTAACTAAAACTTCACAAGAATTTTTAGCTTTCATCAAACAGCCAGCATGGAAACTTCCAGATGAAGCAATTAAAGTTTGGCAAAATTACAAGCAGTTGATATTTGAATCCTAAGATAAAGAACARATGAATTAAAAGAAAAAGGAATGTTTCTAGTCTTACCTGCAGTATCAGAACACACATGGAAAATATCCTAGAAGCGGGATTAGGAGTGGTCAGTCTGAAATTTTAGATCCTGCACTTGAGCCTTTAGATTCTACAAGGAAGAAAGAAAAAGACGAGGCCTTTGGTGTGAGYATGGCAGTTTATAAAAGATAAGAATTCCAAAATTGGCAGTGTTGTCAGGGGAGARAAGGGCATTTGATCAGATGCGTTTTTAAAGATGTCCTCTCTGTCTGATGGGCACTGTGTGGGCTTCAAAGGATTTGCCTTGTAGAGGTATTCCTGAAAAAGATCAATGTATATGGGTTTTTATCCCACTTCCCAAGTTTGTCTTTTGAAGATATTTTTGTGAATTTAAASATGGAATAATAATCCATATGTAATTTCTTAAGTATAAAAACTTCCCATACTCACAATGTGACATGTTTATAAATCTCAGCATTTTGGTTATGGTTGCTTATTTGTTTAATTTTTGGGTTGTTTTCCAGTATCACTTATGAGCCAATAATTATTTGTCAGCTTTTTTTTTTTCATTGATGCCACGGGCCATATCATACCATTGATTTCTGAACAGAACTCCCTGCTGGAATCAGCGAGGCTTTCTGGCTCAAAAATGAATAGAAATGATCCAATACTTGGATTATGACTTTTGTAAGGCAGGAGGAAGAAGGAGATAAAAATCTAGCATTAAATACCTCAAAGTACTTCTTTTGACTCCCCTCCTCCAACTTTTAGAAACCCAACTGTATTGATTTTTTAAAMAACGTTTAAAACAGCAATTTCAACAACAACAACAAAGCTCAGTGACCTCTTCTGTGGGCATCTTGCCTGGTAACCTGCAGCCCAGAGCAAATTTTTGCAACTACATGATAATCCACTGCAAACAAAGGCTTACAGCAGATGCCTGAAAACCCCGGCTGCAGCCTGACAAGTGCAGTATCAGATCTAAATTGCTGCCATGCCACTGCTGCATATTTTTGGTGCTGCTGTAGATGKGTGAGAGGGGAAGATGATAACCCACCAGAGATACATTCTGAGTGTTTAACATAGTGCCAAAGTTGGAGAATGAGCACTGAGCAGTGTGTTTCAGAGGATGAGTGCTGGAAAGCACTCTTCCCATGGTTGTGGTTGGCTCCCTGCATGGCTCCTGGGAAGGCTCACAGCCCCTCCGTGCCTCAGTTTACTTGTCTGTAAGGCAGGGACAATCATTCTCCCTCTGGGGCTGCCCAGGGGACTGATCCTGCTGGCAGCAGAGCTCCRTGAAGCACGGCACAGTGGGGTTTGTCAGGGTAGCTGGCTCAGTTTTGGGGCCAGGTCTGTTTGCAGGGGCCCAGACTCTTCCTTCCTTCATTGCATGTGACCCTGAGACCAAATCCAGTGTTGCCTTTGCCAGCGGTTTTACCAAAGCTGCTGAGCATCCCACTGCCACATGGGTGACCCCACGGGCATGAGCCACTTGCAGGAAGCCACCATCTGTGCCATCTGCCTGCAAGGCTTGGCACTTTGGGATGGGACATGGGGTGGCGAGGATGGAGCAAGCCACCGGGGGCATCATGGTGCTGTGCTGTAATGAGGGAATGGCTGTATCCAGACAGGGTCAGCACCAGTCCCTTTCTGCCTCGTGTTTCTCAAGTGAGTTGCAGAGGGGATGCCAGGGCAGGGGTGTTCAGGGCAGCTTTCAAGCCCTCCTGGGCTGCCGGATTTTGCTGTAGTGGTGGAGTGAGCACAAGAAGGCAGTGGTGGCCAGGAGTGACCCCAGGAGAAGCARGTAGCACATATCCTCCCCAGCCATCTTTGGGGGCAAGGGCCCCGGCAGCCTGGTCCCCCAGCCCTTGGCTTAGGGCTCCCCTAGCAGCACTGGCTAAAACAGGGCACAGGGGGGCAAACTCTGGCACCTGCTCCTGGAGGGTCATCACCAGCCCTGAAATAGTTCTGTTTCTCATGCTCTTGGTCTGCCAGGTTTASTGTGTTTTTCCTTCATCACAGCCTGCAGGAAGCTGTCAAGTYTCAACCTGTTCAGGGCTGTGCAGGCATGAAGCAAAGGGCAGAGGGAACAGATAACAGCATGGTCTGGTCTATAAATCGTCTTGAGATTAATTCTTGCTCTTTAGATGACTATGTGATTCTCAGCATTAATGCATTAATGCTAGTCACCATCCTTCACTTTTTTTTCTTCATCTACATGGCCATTTAGCTATGGTTCTGTTTAGAAAGGGACTCAGTTTTTCGTGCATGTTTGGACAGGACCAAAGTCAWTGATACCCCAGCCTCAGCTGGTCACTGTGGTTATACGAACATAAACTTGGAAAATACTCTGCAGGAAGCYTTGCAGAGGCTGCAACATGATAGAGTGGGGTCAGTCAGTGCTGGCTGTGGTGTTGCTTTGAAACGCTGAAGCTGAAGCGTGGGACAGGGAGTTGGTGGCTGTGTGGTGTGGCAGATGGATGTTTGCTCCTSGTGTGGTGCTGGCTGGGTCTGCTCAGTGCCTGTGTGCACATGTTAGGTATGCGGTGTGGAATTTGGAGGGTAAATATTGATGTGGCATTGTCTGAAAACAGCCCTCTGTTTTGAATCCTGCTCGCAAGCACAGACAGCTCCCATCTAYGCTGCATCCTAATCCCCCCCGGCAGCTTTGTTTGGCATTTCTATTGTGGGCCTGTCTCCAGAAATGTAAACTTGCTACTAATGAGTTTTTTTTTTTTTTTCCTCTTAAAATTAGGTGAAAAACCTGACGACAAATGGAAGATTGGGACCTTGGTCCCCATGGCAACTGTGTGAGCATTCGGATGGGGACAGCACAGGCTCCTGCATGTGTAGGTCACGTTCCTGTGACAGCCCTCGTCCTCGCTGTGGAGGTCGCAGCTGTGAAGGGGCCAGGATTGAGGTCGCAAATTGTTCAAGGTACCTCAGCGTCTTTGTGTTTCTTAAGGGAACAAGGATTGTGTCTGTCCACATCTTAGCTTCTTTCTTRTGACCATGTCATTGTGTCCCAGCCAAAGTGAGGTGTGTGAGGTGCAGCTTGAAGTCAGTAAAATAAAGAAACCCAAGGGCTCAGAGCAAAGGGCCCTCAGCCAAGGCTCTTGAAAGATGAGAACCCCAAAGTACGGTACACTGCCCTGTGCCTTGTTTCCCTCAGCTCTACAGGGAGAAGTGGCCCATCAGAAGGAGATGAGTAAGGCAGAGGTAGATGTCAGCCAGCTGAACAGCAGACTAAAAAAATCAATAAACTCATAATTTTTCAGASTTTGGGTTCCAAGGCCACATTGCCAAAAGCAAGCAGAGCTCCTTCAGAGCAGCTCTTGTTAGGACAGGCTGAGCCTAGCTCCAAGCAAGGTTTGTTGGCCTTGTTGTGCCAGTCTGTGACCTGTGTGCAGCACAGTCTGTCTGCAGRGCAGGTGAGAGCAGTGCCTCATCCTCTGGCAGTGACGGGCTCGGGATGCACTGCCGGGACGGCGCTGGAGCAGCACAGGCGGCTCCACTTTGACAAAGGGCTGCCTGCCCACAGGAGCCTAAAACTCTGCCTTTGGCAGAGTGGGAGCTAAATGTCCTCCTGTGGGTGCCCAAACATAGCCATGGTGTTTGTGTCCCTGTATCCCATCACCCTCAGACTACATCATGTCATGACTCAAGGGAAGACGATGCAACAGTGTAAGCGCTATTTAACCAGGGTGGGGGCAGCCAGGATGCCAGGATTTTGGTTCATATTGGGTCAGTTTTTATCTACTTTATCTTCTCCATAAACATTCATTCCATTAAGGACAGCTGCCTCTTGACTCATCCCTGGCGATCAGTGCTGCTCTTGGCACCAAAAATTTAGCAATACTCATGTTTTAACTGGCATCTTTCCTTCCAGTTATGGGTTGTGCTGCCCAAAAGGTGTGCAGTCATTCCTCCTGCCCCTGTGCTGCCACCATGGGCTGAGCAATGCCTTCCCCAGGCAGGCATTTCCTGTCAGTGGCAAATGGAAAACATGCCAGGGGGATGGGTTTCTCAGCACTCCTCTGATGGCAAAAGAGGCAGGAACAGCTTCTAAGACAGGGATGAAAAACAGATTATTCAATCTTAAGACACACAAAAACAGCATGGTTTGAAAAATAGGGACATCTGGTCATCCTACATCCGYTTCAGCCCTCAAATTTCCTTTAATTGACTTCATATGGCATTGAGATTTCTTTCTGCAAAGAGGGAGTAGGATGTTTAAAGATGATTTCTATTAGAAAGCTGGAGATCTGAAAGTGAAGGTGGCTTTATTTCTGTTAAAAGTCCTGAAACACAAATAGATGTTGAGAACTGTTGGGTTTTTGAGGATTTCTTTAGGAGAGATTACTTGCCCTTTTTGCTGCAGTAACAGCAACCTTCCATTTGATTTTTTTCTTTTCATGATTTTATATTGTAATCTTTCTTTTGAATTAAAGAGCAGGGTGGTAGTAGGTGGTTTAAAACATAGTAGAATAATATGGAATAGTAGGATGTTTATATGAGTGAATTTCTTGTTCTTTRACCTTGTTTGGGGCTGGAGAGGGAGGGGAAGGAGAGGGATGGGAGAACAAGAAGAGGAGGGGGGAAAGATCTAACAGGGTTCTGAAATAAAGCTGCCAAGAACAGGCAAGAGTTGATAAAAAATACAAAAAGTGTGAAGGGCAATGTGGGTTTTAACTTTCATCTTCTGCCCTGATTGGTACTATGCCAGAAAATATTTCTTGCCAGCAGTGTTATTAGTTCAGTAAATGCTTTGAAAATTAACATCTGTTTTCAAGCTTAGCTTTCAAGAGTCAGAGAGTACCTGAGTTGTTTTTTGACTAGACTTTTTAGAATGCTTTTTCCTTATAAAAAAAAACACAACCCAGAAAAAGGTATTTTTTGGCTTAAGAAACTGATGTGTCAAGATTAGGCAATTTTATAAGACAGAGCATTGCCACTGGCTCCATATGAAATGAAACCTGCAGCACAGAAGAGATGAGATATGGTTCCTCCTCTSCTGCTTCAAGGTCCAGTGCTGCCAAATGAGAGGAAGGTGATCTTTAATAGATGCAAGATTTCAAAGTTGAAAATGTTGGCTTCTCTGTAAGCCCACGTTTGAGGCACCTCACGGCAGCAGCGTGGCAGGAGCYGCCTGCACGTGCTCAGCCTCTCGCAGGAGCTTTGCCAACATCTCCAGCGCTGAGGTGTGAACTGGGGGGTTGTGCATCACACTGGCTTCAGGCTGTGTTACCACTGTTCAGCAGAGATGTGATCACTCATTAAACCATGAAACTCGATCCTGCCTCTGAGCTCTTAATTGCCTCTGGTTTCTACAGATTTAAGGTCACACTACAGTGACGTCTGCAGGCAGCCATGAAAGCTAGAAGCAATTATTGTTATTTTTAATGAAATTTGAGATTTTCACTTAATAGGATTCAATGCTGAAGGCTTTAGGAAAACACAGAATATTATGAGGTTTGTGATAAAAACATGGGAGCTGGCAGTGGTGTTGCTGTAAGAGATTTAAAGCATCAGTACCTACTGAATTAGCAGAAGGTAGGTGTTTTACATCCTTTGGCACAACTGGCATTCATGATCCTCAAAACCTGAACACTTTGTGCAGAAATATTCAGGACAYACAACTTTGGGATCAGCCATTGGGTCAGAAGAGCAGGGTTATGAGACATGGGGAAGATGGTGGGGAAGTAGTTAATGAAAGTTACACTAACCACATTATTGMCCAGCAAATCTGAGGAGATGTTTTCAAAATCATTCAGCATTGGCTTCATTCTCTTCCTTTCCAATCCTTAGAGACTTCAAATGGAGGAAAGTTAGGCCTCTGCTAAGCGCTTTTGAAACTCCCTTTTAAAAATCTGCCCTGATAAAAGTCTGGCTGAAATAAATAATATTCTCTCCCATGAGTCCAACACTTCCCCCATACTCTGTTGTYTCTCACCCTCTTTGTAAGAAACGGCGCTTGGACACCGTGGTCTTCCTGGGCCCCATGCAGCACCTCCTGCGGGATCGGCTTCCAGGTGCGCCAGCGATCCTGCAGCAATCCCGCTCCACGCTACGGGGGCAGGGTCTGCGTTGGACAGAGCAGGGAGGAAAGGTACGAGCTGTCCATGATGGTGTGWGTTCATTGCTGTGGCTGTAACGTTGACAGCTGGAAGTGGGGGCTGGGAATGCAGAGTGAGACTCTTGGGCTCAATGTGAAAAGCAGAAGCAGTTCCAGAGTCTGGGGGGAATGTGGCTTTTTGCATGCATGGACACTCAGTGAGCCTGTGAACATCACACACTTCAGGGCTGCCCTCACTCCCAAGCAGGACCCTTCAGACCTTCACAGGTATCCCTGTCCCACACAGAGGACTGACTTCCTCCCCAAYGGAGAAGCTGTGGCTGTTGTTGCTGTTGGCACTGTAGAATTTATAGACAGTTACTCTGTTCTGATCCAGCCCTGGAGTGGCAGCTGAGGATGTGCAGCTTTCACTGCCAGTTGCACCATTCCCAATTCTCTGTTACTTGTGCTGATGCTCCAAAAGCAGTTCAAGGCAAAATACAGCTTAACTCACAGATTCAGGCTTGAGTTTTTGCAGGGCACGGCATCAGAAAAAAATGATTTTTCCCCTCTAAACTAAGAAAATCTCACACAAAATTACWAAAACCTAATACTTTCTGAACCTACAGAGCCATCTGCACTATAATGCTTCTTCAAGCTTGGCCCCTCATGAAACACAAGCTTCAAGGCATCCCAACTTCTTTCCAGACCTGACATTTCATTAAAGGCCACCTCTGCTTGGCAATAGGCTGTTGCTTCTCCCTTGAGTGGTCTCTAAGACATATGTCTCTGCATTTCTCAGAATAAAAAGRGCAATTCATTTAACTTCCATGTTTCAAGACATTTTAATGTTTGGTTAGATTTGTGTCCATTCACAATGGTCCTTTTTGGGTTTAAAGACTACCTCTGAGTCAATAATCACCTCTGTGTGATTAAATTTCAGAACAACATTGATTGAAAAGCTGAACAAAATTACAGTTACTTTTGACATGGGAACATGAAATAGCATTCACTTAGAGCCTGCTTTTAGATGCATATAGCATGCAGTTGCAAACTCTAGTTTTTAGGGTCCAGGCAGCAATAAGAGCCAGATTGTGTGAAGAGAAGATTGTCAGRTGTTTAGCACCTGCCATTAGTGACAGATCACTGTTGACTTGTCCTCCCACTAGTCATCCCATTTATAATATTTACCATCCACTCTTTCTTTGTGGCACTTGGGCTTCAGTTTATGAGCTCTTTCGTGGACTCCGTGTTTGTGGAAAGTTTCGACACAGAGCACTTCAGAAAACATGATCTCAACCATTTACTCCAACTGTCTCACTGAGCTCAGCCTGATTAACCACTCCCATTTKGTACAAGGCTACATTTCTCTCCATGGACAGAAATATTGCTAAKATGATGTTGTGTCAGCCTCTGATGGCTCTCTGTGCATGCATCAGTTGCACCCAAATGCAGTGTGCAGTCTTGCATCCCACACYGTTTTGTCCCTYGGCTGTGCTGACATGGAGATTTTTTGAACAATGCACTTTCTTYTTTCAGGTTCTGTAATGAGAACAGTCCATGTCCATTACCGATTTTTTGGTCTTCATGGGGACCTTGGAATAAATGTAGCGTGAATTGTGGTGGAGGGATTCATTCAAGGCAGAGGTCCTGTGAAAATGGAAACACRTGTCCGGGCTGTGCTGTGGTATGTATTCTTTATTGACATTGCATGAGGGGCACCTATTGACAGTAATATTGACGRGAATGGGATATTTTGCTCCTCTCTCCATTGTGGTTTTATTTCTCAAGCAAGAAGAAAACRCTGCTCTCAGTTTAGCTGGAGAGGATGCTGAAATGGCCTTGGAAGCAGAAGGGTGGCAGATTTAGGGACAGACTTGTGTACARAGTACTTCCTTAGGCCTCTGTAGGCTGGTATCAAGTCCTTTACCTGAAAGCTCAATACATGTTTTTTTTTCTTCTGTCCCACTCCCAAGGATGATCCTRTTGAGTCATGGAGGCCACACATGCATCAGAAATGAGCTGCAYTGTCATATTTGAGTAAACAACAGGTCCAACACCCATCTGCTCTCTTGACTTTCCTTTTCTTGTTCTAGCAGCTGTTTCATGCAGCCMTTTTAATTGGTTTTGTGGGGTTTTCTTTCAGTGTAAGCAGACTTGATCTGGAACCTCCCATTTCTTCACAAGCTGTTTGGCATTTGCACTAGAATCATGAAGTCCTGATGCATTAAATTTCTTCCCCTCTGCCAGAAGAGAGTTGTTCATTTAGTTATTTTAAATCAAGAAYGCAAATGTTTGTCACTGGAATTCCTCCCACTAGTGACAAGAATTGTAAAACCCCCCAAATCCCCCTATTCCCATCCAGCTTTCTGTCTTCTGTCTTGTTGTCAGTGCTCAGCGGATGCTCTAGACCAAGGATGGCAAATGGYTCATAACCTTCACTAGAGAGTTTGAAAAGTCAGCTAAACAAAAATAGCTGTAAAAAGATCTACTCTAAACCAATATTAAAAATAAAATAATAAACTTTTCAAGGAATAAACCTTACTGACATTTTGTCCTCTTGGGGCTCCTCTAGGCTGACCTGAGAATAGCATCTCAGGGTCAGACCAGAAAACTTGTTTGCTGTTATTATTATCTATTGCCTGAATAATTCTCCTTCCCATAATGAACCAAGTTGTTGAAGCCCCACAGGACTTGGAGTCAGCAAAGAAACACAAACCTGAGGGAGACACAAAAATAGCAAGTGCAGTTTACCCTTGAGGTTCACTCGAAGCTATGCACCACCACTGCCTCCATAATCACCACCTTTTGTATCGTGCCCAGCACTGGTTTGTGCCTCTGAGGTCAGATAAGGTGGATGGGGATTGTTTTAGATCCAGAGAGTACCCCTTTATTTTCTGAAGTGTAAATAAACCTCTGCCAGTTAGTCTGCTGTTGTTTAATAACTAAGGAGGGAGTGGTTTTGTTTCTTGGCAGGAGTATAAGACCTGTAACCCGGAGAGCTGCCCGGAGGTGCGCAGGAACACACCCTGGACCCCCTGGATGCCTGTCAACATCACCCAGAACGGTGCCCGCCAGGAGCAGCGCTTCCGCTACACGTGCCGGGCCCAGCTGCCAGACCCCCACGAGCTGCAGTTCGGGAGGAAGAAAACCGAGAGCCGCTTCTGCCCCAACGATGGCTCGGCAGTGTGTGACACTGACTGTACGTCCTGMCAGCTCTGAGGGGGCCTGGGTGGGGTGGTGGAAGAGGGATCCTCTCAGAACAGCAGCAGTGTGTTTGCTGTAGCGTGGACATGTGTGCCTGGTGTCAGTGCAGAGGGCAGGGATGGGGAGAGCCCTGTGACACAGAGATACACAGCCATCAGTTCTGATTATGGCACTGTTTTGGTTTGTTCTTGCTACTGCCTGGCTGCCCCAAAGAGAACAGGCGAGCAATGAGGGTGTAAAGAAGAGAAGAGCTTTTCTACAGGACAGTGTGTCTTTTTCTTCTCCCCAGAGCTCCCCTTGTGCACTCTCAGGTTGTTAGCTGCAGTACTGCTGTCATGCAAAGCAGCATCTTGAGGGCACAGCCTAGACTGCCACAATTTGCTGCCCAGAAAGGTCATTTATCAAGGTTATCAGTAGACTCAGTTTGTAGGATACAAATTTCTTTTTCTGTCTAGTTTAGCTCTAACTGGGGTTAAAACTTCTTGCTAAGGGCTTTCAACAGAAACTATTCTGCAGGGCGCATAGATCCTATTTTTATTAATGAGCTGAACCCCTTTCTAAAAGCCCAGCAACTGATGAATTTGTGAYCTCATGGTGTCTTGTTTGTTTTCCTTGAAGCTCTTGTTGATGACCTCCTCAAGACTGGTAAGACCTCTGCACGGATTATCAATGGGGGCTGGTCCTTTTGGGGGGCCTGGTCTTCCTGTTCCAGGGACTGTGAGCTGGGCTTTAGGATCAGGAAGAGAACATGCACAAACCCTGAACCTAAAAATGGTGGCTTGCCCTGTGTGGGGTCAGCGATGGAGTACCAAGACTGCAATCCTCACCCCTGCCCAGGTAACCATGATCATCTTMCTGCATAAAATTCAGAGGTGTTTTTCCCAGATCTTAATGGTAGAGCAACAACAGCAACAACAAAAAAAAAAACCCTAAACAGTATTTCTAAGCTGCTGGTTTTTTTTAATTTGGGGGAATTTTAAAAAAAAATTTTTTTAGAGTTGTTGTAATGACGTACTTGTGTGATCATTAGTGCTGACTTAGGTTTCACCTCGGCTCAGGGGGTAACACAGTCACATCCCCTAGAGGAAGYAGAACGGTGGCTTGTAGCAATCCTTTGCCTCAGGAAGGTTTGATGCTCCATCCAGTGGAGGGCATCATGGCGCATTTGCTCCCTGATGAGGGGACAGGCTTAATAAATGTGGCTTAATACTGTATAGAGATGCTTGATGTGGYGGTTCTTCTTGTGAACACTTGTTTCTTCCCCCTCTCCTGCTTACGTATTGTTCTTGCGATGGGCATCTACTCTTGGCATCAGTTACCATTTCCTGCACAGCCAGCAGGGAGTATTCTTGCCTGGTTTCCTGGTTTTCGAGTTTGTCCTCATGTTTATGTTGCACTCCCGGTCCAGAATAGTAGTAATAGACCATTGACTACTGTATTCTGTCTCACTTATCCTTCTTGTTCTGTAATAAGTGTCTAAACTAAATTTAAGTGATCTTAACACAAATTACCTTGCCTCTTTGCAGTTCCAGCAATTATCTACCTCTGGCAATATAGTTTGTGGCCTACATTTGAAAATGCTCTATTATAGTAGTACTATTATGATTCTAAAATTCAATACAAAGATAAAATTCAAATGCAGATATGATCAGACTGTGCAGCGAGAGCGTAGCAGGAGTGTCAAATATTGCACTCTATGGCCTATAAAAAGGAAATAACTCTAGCACTATAAAGGCAGCTATTAGTACTATTTTGGAAGCTCTCAGTGGCTTTTCACTAATGTCTGTGCCCTTTTTCTGTGCTGTTTTCTCCCCTTGGACACTGATGTTTTACAATCTGTTCTGAGTGCATGATTACTATTTCTCTGTGTCTCCCTCCTTCCATGCCTCACTCAATGTGTATAYACAAATCCTGGGTTTATTTTGCTCTAAGTCATCAGGTTATTATCTTCTGAATTAATGGCATGGGGTCCTGCAAAGCAGTCAGGATAGTGGCTGGGGGGTGGAGGAATCAGGGATCTTAAGTCTCCCTAGTTTTATTGTCAACCTCTTATGAGGTTATGCTTACATCAAGGAKTGATTTGGGTTGGAAGGGACCTTTCAAGGTYACCTATTYTAATGCCCCTGCAATTAGCAGGGTCAACAAATAAAGCCTCTGAGTTTCTGTTTCTTRAAGGCTGGAACTAGGGAACTTGAGCCCCCCACAGAAAGGTACCATAAAAGCTCCTCTTAGGTGGTACAGCACATTTTTCTCAAGTAGATTTGCTGTTGAAGTTTCAGGAGACAATATAGTAGCAGTAGTAGTAGTAGTAGCAGTAGTAGTAGTAGTAGTAGTAGTAATAATAATATTAATATTAATAATAATAATAGCAATGCTGCTTTATATAAAGGAAAGGAATAGAATGGAGTAGAATAATTCAGTGAATATTAATGACTACAACAAACAGTAGTTTCTATTTTTGGCACTTCATGATGCAGAGTCTTTTTCTACATAGGTTTTATTCTGCATCCACAGAGTGCAGTGAATTTGTACCCTCTCTTGATGTGAAGTTCTTGTTGYCAGGCCCAAATGTCCTGGGGTGCAGGAATCTGCTAGCTAGTGTGGGCAGGGTGGACGTGCAAGATGAGRCACTGGGGCTCTCCAGCTTTGCCACAGTGACAGGAGTAACAAATGGCATGTACCTGTGTCTGCTTGTTTTCAATGTCTCCAGTGAAAGGCTCGTGGTCCTGCTGGACTCCCTGGTCCCACTGCTCAGCCACCTGTGGGGGTGGGCACTACCAGCGCACACGGACCTGCACCAACCCCGCTCCATCCAGCGGGGAGGACATCTGCATYGGGCTGCACACCGAGGAGGCCCTCTGCAACACCCACCCCTGCCAAGGTAGCCGCTTCTCATCCCTGCTCCAGCTGGCTTCTGTGCTGGTGGGAGCAAGGCACAGCTGCAAAATGTTTAAAAAACAAATCAGAAACACCACAATTAGGAGTTTCTTGGCCATTCAGCAGATGTCTGTTGAGCCAGGGAAAAAAGAGGCATCCCAGTGTTAACTGCAATGCATCCTGTTTCCCTTCGCCTCCTCATTGGCTCTTGCTCTGGCGTTCTGGTGCCAGTCAAGCAAAATCTTGCTAATGATTGATCCCTTTCAAGTAATTGAAAAAGCTGGAATTTGGTTCCCTAATGTGGAAGCTGACATGACAAACAAAAGGGGCCATGAGGCAGCAAGGGAGCTGAAGGGACAGTCCATCCTTTTTGTTTCACAGACAGCAGATCAGCATGCGGTACAACTCAGAGGATAGGGTTTAGATCTATGCTGGTTTTGAGCTACCTTTGTGTATTTCTGATGCAGTGCAGGCTGACTCTTGCCCTTAGGAACCACAGCAAARCTCTGTAAGTGCTCTAATTTGAGCTGCCTGTTTGAGCTATTCCTTAAGGCCACACTGAAACTTGGAGGTCCTGTTGCAACATTGCCCCATTCAGCTCCTTGTATGTCTTTAACCAGAGAGCTGATATAGAAGCTTTTAAGATGACTTTGTGCTGTGCAATGCTCCACTAAGGGTTGGTTTAGTCCATATTAAGAGAACTACAACCTGGCAAGTAGGGTGTTATATTTACACTGAGAAAATGAAATCCACTAAGGACCCCTGGATTTGATGTGTGAGAGAGGCCCAGGCCAGGATCTAGGCATCGTTCAGCATGGGAGGAGTCTGATACCTATAAAGCATCCCTTCCCTTTCTTGTGACGCTGTGTGTGTGTTTTGCTGACCCTGGACTGCAGGTGGCTGGTCAGAGTGGTCYGAGTGGAGCCTGTGCAATGAAGAGGGCATCCAGTACCGCAGCCGCTACTGCGAGGTGCACAGCCCGGACTCCTTCCAGTGCGTCGGAAACAGCACCCAGTACCAGGATTGCCTGTATAATGAAATTCCTGGTATGTACCGTGTCGTCCAGGAGGGAGAGGGTGGGCCTGTTCAGGAGAGCAGCTCGTGCCTGGACTGTCAAACTAGGCTGAGATTTTCTCTGTTATAAATTGCTYTTGGATGCTTCTAGAAAAACAAGCAAACAGACAAACATAATAGGTTCCCTTGTGGCAGGCACAGGGTAAATGGCATTCTCTTAAGCAGCTCAGTATTTCTTTTAAACACAATTACCTTGATCTGTAACAAATAACTAGTATTGCTTCACCTGACTGAAGCTTTTAACCTTGTATGGTTTGTCTGAGGCTGGGTTATAAAAATTATCTGTGTTCTCAGTATGCATACGGGCAACAGAAGGTCCTTGATTTCAGGTATCAAAAAARCATCCCAAAAGAGAAGAATTAAGGTGAGGCAGATGGAGAAAATTGGGGTATGAAAGCGGGAGATTAATCCAGGGTCTAGCAGGGCACCACTGTTGATGGACAGATGGTCATCAGCATATTCCACCCTGTGTTTTCTGGAAATTGAATCTCTCAGGCAAATACCTGGTATGGGTCTAGACTGAATAATGCCTTTCCACATGTTCTTTTTTTTATTACAATGCACTGACTAAAAAAATCTGAGATCTCTAGGCAATGGTAGTCTTTTTCATGGTTTTCTCAGCTATCTTTTCCCTAAATTTAAGACGCTAAAGAGTGATCAGGTAACAGAACTGGAATTGTAAGATCTTTGCAGAGGTTTTGTTGCACGTGTTTCAAACCATGAGCTTATAATTCAGTTTAGARAGACTCTCAGCTTGCTGCAGAACATAAGAGCACCTCCTCGTGTCTGGAGCACAGAGGGTTTAATTACTTGTAGAAGTAAAGTGATGGCAAAATGACAACTTTCTCCAATCTTCTTTCCTTTGTTTAGTGATCCTGCCAGCCTCCAGCATCGATGAGAGCACAAACTGTGGAGGTAGGGTACCCCTGACTATATATCTTATTTAATCTTAACCTGACTTCTTTTCTCCCTGTGCAGTATCAACCAAACCATTAATCCATACAGCTCATATCCCACTGATAGCCTTAATTCCACCGGAGTCGTGCTGTCTGAGTCAGGCTGGAGGAATGTATCTCATGTCCACTTGTCAGTTCCAAGATTTTAATTYATTTGGAAGTTCGGGTTGGCCACTGAGGGTCGTTAATTACCAGAGAGCAATTGCTTGTGTCTCTCTACCTCCAGGGTAAATGGTTCACGAGGAAATAAGGGATATTCCCCATTCCACCRCTGTAAGCCTCCAGCTGTTTGGAGGCAGGTGTTTTTAAATAACCGATAAAGATTTCAGTGAATGGGGTCTCTTAGACATATCCTTTTGCTGATATTGGATGAGATTAGAGGTTTATACTTGTCCTCCAAGCACTTCCTTTCATTCAAGTTCTCACCTCTCACGGAAACTCTGTCTCCTTCTGCATGTAACTTGGAGAGATCCAGTCATTAGTGTCACTTTTCCACTGCCCTGGGAGCCCTTATGATAAAAATGCAGACTGAAGAAAATGGCAGGTTCCTTTAATGTTTTAAAACGCTAGTTTCACACTAATGGCCATGCCAATTCCTGCTAGCGTCACATCCCTGCTTTCCTGAAATCTAGATGATCTTCAGGCTGCCAAAATCTCTTCTCCCTGTAGAGATCATGGCAAAAACAGACATGCCACCTGTGGCATGGAAATGTGGCTTCTCAGTTTGTGACTGTGGGCAATCAATGGAATTAAGATTTCAGCTCCTGCAATGTAACATTTGGCTTCCTGCGTCACTCCTTCTCCCTCAGAGGGCACAATGGTTCTGCTTCAATTCCAGGACTACTTGCTACAGCTTGCACTCTGCTTTTAGGCACCATACCCACATTTCCTTCTTTTCCCACCACCACTGTATTTGCTGTTGCCTTCTACATTTTGCCATAGCTAATATTATTATTAATGTAGTATTCTACAATATTTGGCAAAAAAACACAATCAATAGAAATTCTGTTGATGCAGCTCAGAAAATCTATATTTTCAAAGTGATGAACCAGAAAGCTTCCCCCCTTGGGGGCTCACATGCTGCAAACAAAATAATTTGGTTTCTTTCCCCCTAAGATACAGCCAAAACTCATTTGAAAAATCAGATGGGTGTTTCAAAGGTGAGAGTGAAATATAAGAGAGCTTTATGTAGTGCCTTGCAAATGTGGCAGTGAAATGAAACATTCACTGCAATATAAGCAAAGCTGGGCAGGAGGAGAATGTGGCAGCRTGTCATGTGGCTTTACTGAACGCAGTTGCATTTTCTGTGTTTAGGTCTCGTGAGTGATGTAAAGCAGGCAGAGGATTTTAGAAAGGAAATGTATTTTTGAAAAGTCTTATGACATTTAGGAGGAAATTATAATACTTCTGCTGGGTTGTTTTGATCCATCGTCCAAAACACAATAGAAAATTGTAATCTTGCAATGGAATTTTATAGTATGATTTAAAAAATAAATGTAGCTTGTCAGTCTAATAAATTCTGTATGTTCCTTATTGTAATTATGATTGAAGTGCATTACTTTGCTGTAGAACTCTATTGGTTTTGTTCTTTTTAAACTCAGGAGGATATTTTTTAACTGAAGATTAGGTRAGAGCCATTGACTAATGGGCAGAATCTGCTGTTTGAAAAGCATATCACTTAAAATGTAAGATGGCACCAAAAAACTGCACACCGTGATCAGACTAAGAATGAGCCTCATTTAAAGCCACTCTCTGAGCAGGCCCATTTCTCTGCACACACTCAAGTCCACACAGCAGTCTGTCCAGATGAATTGGCTTTTTAAGTGTTACAGGAAATTTACTGCTGCAGTCGCCACTGGGGCGATGTGGCTGACCCTTGAGACAGCTGCCCTGGGGCAGAAGTCAGGGGTCCCCCCGGGCACCAGGGCCCTGTCATTGCTGTTTGAAAGATGACAGAGCAAAGGCAGAGGAAAGGCAGAAGCATTTGGGGTCAAATAGCCGATTCTTTTCTGTATAGTCACCCCTGCACACTGCAAAATACAACCGAGTCATAAAATTTTGACTTCCCAGGTTGTCTCTGGTTGCTTTGATAACTTGGTGGCTCTAAAGGTCACTACTGTTTGTTCTGCTGTCAGTGGAGATCTGGTGGTGGTGGGTTTTTCTGCGGGGTGGGAGACTCAGTGAGGTGAGGGAGGAATGAGGAGTGCTGTTTGACTTTGTCCCCTCCCAGCAGYCAGAGCTGTGAGTTAGGTACCTCCYAGTGTGTGGGATGCCAAGCTATAGCTCCTTCCAGAGGTCAGTGCTGGCCTTGAAGGGTTCTGTTGCAATCCCASGTGGACAGATCTCTGCAGGAGGCTTTTACAGTCCAAGAGCTTTTCTGTTTTAAGTGTTTGCACTGTAGCTACCCTGACTGCAACTAGTTTCCTATCTCTGCAATTTGTGGAGAAAGCCAACAAAGAAGTGTTTTTCAAGCAGTGCCCCCCTTTTCCTTTGTCCACCTTACCTTTTCCRTTCTTGAGAGGACCCCTGTTTCACTGTTAGCAGTACAAATACACCTCAGAGATAGTGCAGACACAGCCAAGGCAATGCCACCCCGTGAATAAGCAAGAATGCTGAGCACACTTGGATTACAAGGGGGAAGAATGTGTATGTCCCCCACCCCACACACAGTCCCATAGGCATTTTGGGCAGCCGATAAAAAGGGCTTTCCCTCCCTTCCCCTTCAGAGAAACACAGCATTTTTATCCCCTTATTTCYATGACACGCACATGCTTTGGAATCCATTAATGTGCATTGTTTGTATGGCTCATTTCTTTAGCTGTCAGCTTAACATAATGTTTAGTTTCAATATCAATAGAGGGGAGAGAGGAGAGACAGGGAGGGAGCTTTGAGAAAACAATGCATGAACCTGTTAAACTGCACAAGGCAGAGCTGCAGCGAGGAGACCGATTTGCAGGGAGATTATGTCAGTTTATGTTAGAACGTAAGACTCTGGCTTCAACAGCTTATTAATGTTGATCCCGAGATGTCACTGCTCTGATTTGCACCTGTGGTCTTGTTGGGGGAGGGAAAAGGGCCGTTCTTTAAAAATAGCATCTCTTGTCATTTCTCTTGCAGGTTTTAGTCTCATCCATCTGATTGCCACTGGGGTCTCTTGTTTCTTCGGCTCCAGCCTCTTAACGTTTGTGATTTACGTGTACTGCCAGCGCTGCCAGAGGCAGTCCCAGGAGTCCACTGTTATCCACCCAACCACTCCCAACCATCTCCATTACAAGGGCAACACAACCCCCAAGAATGAGAAGTACACCCCTATGGAGTTCAAGGTAGGGTACTTGAGGAGAAATACCACAAACAGCTTGAAACTGCCTAAATAAATTCTGTATTCATGTCATGGTTGGAACTGGGTAGGTCTGTGTTTCTGTGCCCAGCTGATGGCATTATACATGGGGTTGAAAGGGCATTTAGCTGTGCTGTCACAAAGGGGTTAAAAAGCCTCATTACTGCAGTGGGATTTTGTTCTGTTTCACAGTCCTRATGAATGCCAGTCTGGCAAGTACATACCAAGATACTCCAGCCCATTCTGACTATTGAATGTATACAAATTGTCCTCKAAAAAACCAGTAAGAGCTCAGTTCAGTGCATTGTTAGTGCGTGGTAAGAGGAAATGGAGGGGAGGAAGAATAAAAATGGAAACTTCATTGCACAAATAGCTGGGAAAATGTGCTTTGGTAGGATGAGATTTTGGAAATTCTTTGGTAACTGCCAAATTGGAGTGAATGAAAAAGCAGAGAGGGTTCTGCCCTCTCTATCAGTACTGGACAGAACTTCCCCCAGGCAGCCGTGCAGAATTCAGTGACAGCAGCAGGGTAGGGAGCTGAAGCCTTAGGAGATGAGTGCTGAAGTGGCATGTGCTGTTGGCATGGCGGCTTGCTAAAGTGAGCACTGCCCGTTATCTGATCAGRTACACCCAGGGTGCTGCAGACAATACCCTGAGACAGCAGCACTGCGTTGTATTTCAGCAGCAGTCTCCTGGTGAAGTGTGAGATCAGAGCAGTGAGCAGTGGGATGGGTGGAGGGGCTTCACGTCACCACAAGAGGAACAGCCTGCCTAGGGTCACTTGAATAGTGTGAAGCATTTTTTGGGACATGAACGCAAGCCAGAAGGAAGCCCTGCAGCTGCTTGTTCCTTTGTACAGCTATGTGCTGTTGACATTTTGATTGTCTGCCTCTGCTGGTCTGGCCCAGCTTCTCACTGAGACCCAACAATAAGATCAGTGGTGGGACTGTTCCCCAGTCTAAACTCCCTGGGTGTTGAGGACTGTGTTTCTGTGCTGGAATTGTACAATGCTGGGCACACGATGACTCCTGATACATGGCTATGATTTGCAGTGTGAATGCACATCAGAAATAAGARCTTGAGAAGGGTCAATGTTGTTTTGCTGTTTTAAAGGAAAACAGTTCAAGCTGGAAAATAACTGACTAGTATGGCAATAAGGATGTGTAAATTCCTTGTTGGGCATTGCAGCTTCAGAGGATCCTGGTGCCTTATAAATGCAGGCTCRAAAGCACATTTGCTAGCAAGCATAAGCCTACAGTTGCATACAGTTTAATAAGAGTCCAGCATCATAATGCAAGTCAGCATAGATTTGTGGAAAGTAAATCATGTCAAGCAAATTGGATTCCTTTTTTAAATTAAATAAATATTGATCTAGATAGGAGGGAAGCAGCAGACATATTGGGATTTTCAGAGACTTTTAACAAAGTTTCACGGGATGTATTATTCTACMTACTCTGCATATACAGGTTCAGTAATAAATTATTAAGACAGGTAAAGAACAGGGACTTGATCCTGGAAGCATCAAACTATGAGAGTAATCCTTTCAGTTATGGGAGTTGCTGTGGCAAAGACAATAGGAAGACCTAGATTAGAAAGGCTTGCAGGAATAAAAAAATGAGCAWGAGTATTCCCTTGTTTCTTATATAGCAAACAATAGAAGAAAAGAGATGAATTAAKTTTTGTGGCCAAAAGCAGGTAGTTRGAGGGTTGGATTTGTGTTAACATTTTCTTCATGATTTATACTGTGCTATTGTGTTATCAGATGATGCTAAAATCRGCAGAATGGTTAAAATTTAGAAGGATGAGGTTGTTCACAGAATGATCTTGATCAATTGGGTAAATGGGTTATGAAATGCACTATGTCTATGTCAAGTGGTGCAGTGAAGTAGAAGTAATAACAAAGCTARGCAAAGTTTAAAATAGCAGCAGATTAGTTAATGTAGTGTCAGGAGGGAGTTGACCTCTTTGATAGATCCATCTCTGAATACTTGATCTAGTGTATAGTAACAGTGAGCAGCTGTTAGAGTCCTCTTTCGAGGGACATAAAGAGCTTAGGCATTAGATCAAGTTTTGAAAAGTCTGCTTTATTTAAAGGAAGGCATTAGCTAACTGAGACTGTATGACTTACATTGGGGGGAGAAGGGACTTGGACACAAGGAGAGATAGACCAGATGGGGCTTATTTATAGAATGTTAGGAAGTGAAAGAGTTCAAGTGCATAAATCTGCAGTCATTGGACAGACCAAAGCTAAATGTTTAGGAGCAAGGGGCTACTTGCTGAGATGAACTCRAAGTCATACACTTCAGAGTGGTGAAGAGGCAAAGAGATTTACAGAAAGCACAAAATCTATTTATCAAGTGAAGCCTCCTTTTCTCCATTCCTGTTGAGTATGTCCTTCTGTTCACCTTCTCTATTGCCTCTTCTTTCCTAAACTCTTGGCTGAAAATTTCTTATTTCATACTGCAAATTTGCCACTCCTCAGTGTTCCCTTGAAGTATATAGCATTAGTGAAGTAAGAGGAAAGGCTCTGTGTGCTCTGTGTTGTACAATTACTTATGGGACTTGTTATTAACCAGTTTTATATTTARGAATTAATGACAGATTTTTCTAAGGGTCAGGAGGAAGTTTTTCATGCCTTCAAGGACCATGTGTGGYTTTATTGTGATGCCACACAATTAACATTCAAATGATGGAGAAGCTAAAATTCACTCTYCCAAAAAGGAGGGTTGGACTGAGCTTGGACATGGGCCTATCTGAATTTWAAATATGTGAGTGTGAAAGAAAGTGTTTCTAAAACCAAGTAAGTTTCTATGCAGAAGATACCAAGAAAACTATCCTCAACATTTTTTAAGTAAAGAAACCAAAAGAATAATTACAGGTTTGTGTGTGTGTGTGTGTGTGTGTGTTTGTGTGTGTCTGTGTGAAAGAGTTAATATGTCCATGATTAAGGAAATAGAGGGTGTGCAGACGACTTTTCTGTAACAGAAGATGATAATAGACAGTGACATGATGGTAGCAGAAGGCTGGCCATATGCACAGGTCTATTATTTGCCATTCTTTGACAATAATAAGCCTTCTGCAACCATCTTTAGTTTGTTTTCATCTTAAAATATCTCTGCTTCACAACCAGCAGGTGAACACTGTAGAAAGTTTGGCAGTGTTACATTCAAATGTACAGCATTGAATGCAAACTCATAAATCAAGGTAAATTCTATGTGAAGGCAGATTTTAATGAAGGAAGTGCTAGCTGATACGAGCCTTGTTGGCCATTTCAGCCCAGCAGTGCAGTAATGCAGATCAGATGTAAATACCATACATAATGGTGACCTATTGATCATGTAGCTGATGCTAACTTGCATAGGCARTGTTTTGCAGAAGCGTGTTTTATTTTTGTTGGCTTCTTTTCCCTTCCTGTTCTGCTTTCTCAAGAATGATGTGAGGCTTATTATTAGCTATTTTAGCCATGATGTCTTGAAAGATTTCATGCATATGCATTTACCAGCAACACGTTGATTTTGATTTGGTATTCACAGATCGTAGGGGAGAGACCTTTTGGGTCACCTAATAAGCAGTTCATGTTTCATTAATTGGTTGAAGTTCAAACAACACTCTGACAATATTGAAGACTGTGCAGAACAAAAGCATAATGAAATAAAAATTATCTGCTCTTCACATTTTGGCATGACGGGTTACAGAACCACCTACAACCTTCCCAGAACTGCCACGTCGATTAGATAATAACTGACTATCAAAGCAGTGAGGAGATCCTCTTCGCTTACATCTTGCTTCAGCTGCAGCACGCACTGCGTGAGTTACCAGAGCTGTGCTGATGGAAAGCCAGATGATCCTGCAGTGGAGGCAGGAGGATGTGGGGTCAAGATTGAGCCCCTGTGAATTAGGAACTCTTGGAACAGCCACACACGGAGAAAGGGTTTGGACTGAACTTCTTCCTATTGCTGAATCCTCTGCCAATAGACAGAGCCAASATTTTATTCTATGCGGGATTTGGACAAAGGCGTCTGCATATTGGTCCAAATCCAAAATCCAATGGCCTTTGGATCAGGCCAGATGGGATCAGTGAGAAATGTAAGTTTGCAGGATGGTTTTGATGATGATTCTGCAGATTTTCTTTGTGATTGTGCTGGACAGACCTCCCTCTGTCCTTCCTTCCTTCAACACAGCTTTAGTCATGAGTCACACAGTAAAACTCTCTGAACTGATGCCTCAAATAAGCTGAGGAAGCACCTGAGCATTGCATCTTCTCTGGCATCAGCACTGCTGTTGTAGGAAATAAGGGCCAAACACTGAAGCAAAACAGTCATTTATGTCAAGGATTAAATTTATTGTGGGAAAAGATGAGGTGAGAACTGAGTGAGATTGYAGGATATGGCAATGAAAGAGGAAAACTAAGTGTTTGATGTATCACTTGATATCCGAATTTTCTAGGACATTAGAACAACATACATAAACTTGAGTAGAACTGCGAGTCCTGCACTTGACTAAAATTATACAGCAAATATAGATGCAGTTACCAGAAAATGGGGGGAATATTCAGTAGATCACTTGACTCCGTATAAATTAGAAGCTGAAATGAATGTTTTCTACTGAAGTGAGAAGAACAATGCTCTTGGGAAACAAATGACAGAGTGTAGAGCAGACACCCCCTGCAAAGGACTAGGCCCTGTGATCCACACTTCATTATTAATCCCAAATAATTCATGGCAATAAAATACTAACATGGAGAGCTGAGAAACAGAAACCAATTCTGTCTTTGGAAGAAGAGTCCTTTTGAATAAAACAACATGCTATTTGGTGTAGCTTTCAATCTTGCAAAAATTATCGAAAAGAAGATTAGTTCAGTTGGTTTGAGCACAGTACTGATAATGCCAAGGTTATTCTGTATGGGCATTCTCTTGAGAGCTGGACTGGACAATCCTTGTGGGTCCCTTCCAGTTCAGAATATCTTGTGTATTTGTTATGTGAAAA